CATTATTTTGTGAACATTATCTAAGATGTAGCCAGAAGTAGACTCTGCTGAAGTAAAAGCCCTAGAAAGCACAGTGATTCTATCCTGGTTCTGTCGGCAGCTGTAAGATCTCAGGCAATCACATATTTTGAGATTCTATCACTTCATCTCTACTTTGAGAGAATTAGAGGAGGGAGTGTTATTCATTCCTAATTTTGGTACTATGAATGTCGGCAGAACTCCTTTCAGTCTTACCAACAAAACTTTAAATGAAGAGTTTCAGAAGAAAGGTACACTCCTTTTTACTTGAATAATTTATAATGTAGGTCTGATTAAGCACAATGAGCTAAAACTTAGCACTGGAGGATTAGGAGTATCAAAAACCAAAACTGAAAAATTTAATGAGTATCCAAAACAATAGCATCAAATTACAGCATACGCAGGAATAAAGTTAGCAAAGGATGTACAAGGTCTCTACACTGAGAAATATTAAACAATGTTGAGAAGAATTTAAGTGAAATAAGTAGGAATACACACTATATTGTTTTTTTCTAGGTCCTTTACATTTTTGAACAACCTTAGAAGGAATTGAAAGTCCTATTGTACTTGACATCAGGACTTAAAAAGTTCTGACAAAAAGATAAGCAAATAGATTAATAAAACAGAAGAAAGTACATAAGTAGATCCATAGACATATGGTCAGATGGTTTTAGACAGTGATACCAAAACAATTCAATGAGTAAAGGAAAATTGCTGTGACAAATGGTGCTGGAACAAACTAAATATTTATATGGAAAACAACAATATTTGAGCCCTGTGTGTGTCTTAGTTGCTCAATCGTGTCTGACTCTGTGACCCCATGGACTGTAGCCTGCCAGGCTCCTCTGCCCATGGAATTCTCCAGGCAAGAATATTGGAGTGGGTTGCCATTTCTGACCCCTACCTAATAACAAAGGGGAAAAAAATTTAATTCAAAGTGGATCATCGACCTGAACACAAAAGGTAAAACTGTAAAGCTTAGAAAAATATTCCTGACTTTGCGGTTGGTAAAGACTTCTTAAAGAGGACACAAAGTATTAACCATAAAACAAAAATTGATGAATTGGACTTCACTGAAGTTAAAAGCACCTTCTCATCACAAGACACATGAGAAAACAGACAACTTACGGCAGGAAAAAATGTCTACCATAAATCTTACAAAGGACTTATATCCAGGACTCCTATCTTAAAAGATTATCACTAGTCACTATCCAGTTAAAAAGGACAAAAAACTGGTTCAAACACGTGAAATATTTGTTCATTAGTCATCATGGAAATGCAGATTAGACCACCTTGAGACACCACTACATACCCATGAGAACGGCTAAAATAAAAGATGGCCAACACCAAATGTTAGGCAACCAAACTCTCGTATTTTGTTGGCAGGAATGGAAATGTACAGTCACTTTGGAAATGGTTTCTTAAAAAGATGGATACACAGCCATCTATCCTGTGGCCTAGAAATTCCATCTGAAAAGAATGAAAACGTGTCCATAAATAATTCCTAGGCAAGAATATCTATAGCAGTTTTATTCTTATTAGACAAAACCTGAAACAGACCTGGGGTCCACAGAGATGTGGTTTTACATGAACCGTGGTGTGTGCACACAGCACCTCATGGTGACAAGAACACACTACTGATACAGCTGCCTGTGTGGATGAGCCTCAAAGTCACCACATGGAGTCAGAGCCACACCAGGGGGACATGCCATATAATTTCCCTCTATACAAATATATTCATTTGTCAAGCTCAAGAGAGGCTGCTATGGATTTACAGCTGTACATTTTCATTACCTGTAAATTATATCCTTCCTACAATAAAATAGCTAAGGCTCTTGAGATTAACATTTTTAATCCATCTCTTTTAGTTCTGTAACAAATTGAAGGTCAAGTGCTAAATGATCTTTCACAGTTTTGGCTATCTTATTTTTATCAGTCTAATTCAAAATCCTACAAGTGTGAGGTTAAATTGTATTCAGGCTTGGTTTGTTGGTACCTTGGAATGATCCATGTCGGTCTCCATGGAGCAGTGTTGGCTCAGGCCTCCGTGGACAGAGCCACACAGCATTCACCTCTTGTCCGGCGTTCTCGTAGTGACTTCTTCTCTTGTATGCTTTCTTCCAAACTGAGGTCCGTAGGAAAAGCTTAAGATATACCACAATTAGCATCTGACCTTTCTCTGTAACTACTGGAGAAAGCCATATTCTGCTTTTCAGGTGAAAACAACAAAATGGACACAACATTAGGACACAATTTCCCAATTGACTGAAACCACTTGTACATTTTTGCATAATTCATAAACAACTCATCAAGCTAAAATATAATGTTGAATTTTATGATAATTAAAACTGGATTTCTAAACTGCATGGATAACTTAATAGTATAGTTTAGTCCTTTGTAAACTAGTGAAAAGAAAAAGAAAAGAAAAGAAAAAATTAACATGAACAGCTTTAGATAAGTGCAGAGCTAGTTGGTAAGTAAAGTAATGGTTTGGTCCAAAATTGTGAAGATTCTGAATGCTCTACTTATATTACAGAAATCAAAAAGTGTTGATATATCCCTTTACCAGTGTGCTTCTAAAGAAACTGTACAATTTCTCACTTCAGGACACAAAAACAAATATTTAAGAAAAATATTAGCAAAATGCCCTATGAATTCAAATGGTTGACTTCATGCTATTGCTTCCATCAGAGGCAGGCGTGATCTAGGCAGCTGGAGGGGGTTGAGGATGTTTTTGTTGAACTGAATGAAGCTTGACATACATTCAGAGCCATTCAGGTTTCTGCGACCCAGTAAAATTATTAGTACCAGGCTTTAAAAATAATAAAGCATTGTATAAACCTTACCTTTTAAATGCATTTCAGACCTATCAGAAAGATCAAAGAAACTTACCCTTATATGTTAAAGTAATAATATGAGAATTAAAAAAAAATAAGGCACAAAGGCAGCTAAGGATAGTAGTGTACTACAAGTGGCAAAGTGGCCAGCTAAAAGAAAATACATCTTTTCTCTTTTACAAATACAGAAATTAAATGTATCCATTATGAATACAATTTTAAAACTGTTTGGAAAAAGTCTATAAACTGTAGTCCACATGATTCTGATTTTAAAACTGAACAAGTCCATCAAGTATAAAACTGCTTCATTCAAATAGTAGGTATTTTTTCTCACCTCCCTATTTTTGTCAGAGATATTTATAAAAATTTGACTAAAATTATTTTTTACCTCTTTTCAAGACTTACCTGAGACTTAGCATTGCAGCCGTGTGTTTTCACTAAAAACCGCCACTGCAGCAGAATTTCCTCTTCCTCTTTCTAGAGCTTGTTTAGAAATGCTTGTTTCTAGGAAACTGTACAAATCAGTATGCCAATTTAGTGAGAAAACACTGCAACCTGAGGGTTCGAACTACCTAATCAGTTTCATCTGATGGTATTGGGACAACAGAGGCTGCAGTGCTCACATGGCAGGACTGGAAGCGCATGCAGACCATGCATGTCCAAGTCCAGCCTGGTACCCTGCACAGACCTAAAGACAGATGGCTTGGTGCCCCTTCATCCTGATGCTGACAACTGAGCAAGCAGGCGGGGAAGAGAGCCCCGTGTGATACCCTAGCAGACTGTGTAGAGACCGGCCTGAGTAGTTGACATTACAGCGTGTGCACACGGCATACGGGTCACAGACAGGTTGTATTAACCTGATACTAGGACCTAACACAAGATAAATAAAGACGCTCAGACTGTTCCATGTAAGAAGGATATTTAGTTGCTTTAAGTTACACAGCATCCACTTTTACATTTGCATTTTTTAAAATAGGAATTTACTGTTCACTGTGGGGCCCAGATACAACTGAAGTACTCAACCCTAAAGAAATGCTACTGAGTATATTCTAAGTCTTCTGGGGACAAGGAAGGGTACCCTCCCTAATGACAGTCTCCAAAGTCAAATTGCTTATGAACAAAGTAAAGGTTTATAAATATTCTGGCTTTTTGTAAATTTTCTCAATATAACTTGGGGGCTAATATAACAGCAGAAATAGAGGCTCGATGGTCAGCATGAATATGCTTTGTTATTTCTTCTCCCGACACCTAGGGATTATATGAACAAAAACAGCATTATACCATCTTCTCACTGACCAAAGCACCACTGTGTTGATCCGATCATGTAAGAGGTGACTCTCCTAGAGACCAAAGTGACAGACCTGTGCAGGGATGTGGCCTATGAAGGCAGGTGTGACGAAGGAGACGCGGGCTGACACTGGTGGACTATCGCAGGATGACTTAACCTTGGCCTTGAAAACCAGAACCATTTCAGAGGTGAAAAATCACACCACTGTTTGTTACTAGTGATGTTGAAGAAAAACAAATTAGCCAGGGTTTTTCACTGATGGGGTGACAAGCATTAGAGAAAAAAAACACAACAAAAGCCAAATTAAGTCGACATAAAGCAGTAATTAAATATAAAAATAAGACATTTTTAAACTAGTGGATTTATTCTAGGTCTCAAAAATTTGGAAAATACTTAAATTAAAATCTTATGCCCTCTAAAAAAACCCAAAGTGAAAAAGTATCAATTTTAGTAAAGGTATCAACATATATATATGCAGATATACATATGAATAATGCAAAACAGATTTACATAGGTGTTAATTTTGGCACTTTTACTTGGATTTTTACAGAAAGTGAATACAGATGTCTTTGCATACAAATTCTCATTCTGGAGAAGCAGGATGCAGAAATAAAAGGTTCAAACATCTCCCTTCTGAAAAAGAACATTGAAAAAGGAAACTTCACCCGTTAAGCCTCCTGGTTGGCCACTTGATAAATCTGGCTTGATTTCTCTCACTCCACAAGTTTGACAAAGTTATTTTAAGTTTCTATCACTGATACCTGGTCATCCACTTTCAGTCCATGTACCATTTGGCCAGAAGTCCATAAATAATGTTTCCAATGTAGAAATCTTAAAGTTCTAAAGGGAAATACTGCTCAGTAGATAAAATCTCCTGGAATGTCTTGTAGCAAAGGTTCCTCAAATTTAAATCGTTTGGAAATGGCCTTTTGCTCCATCTTCTCCTTTTCAGACTGTCTGCATTGTCCTAAAGTATACGAAGTCACTACAATCAGCTCCTCTGTCACGATGGATTCCTCGGTTTCTGGCTTCTGAGTATCTGAATTACTTTCAGACACAGAATCTGCTTCCTGGAGGGCATGTGCTGCCTCTAAGGCCCCTTTGACCTTGAAAGCAGGCTCCTGAACACCGCTCTGAGTCAGCCACGGGTGTTTCAGACACTCCTCTGCAGTGGCGCGATCTCTGGATAGGGGTACACAGTTTACACTTTAGACAAGATGTCTTAAAACTTCAATCATAAATAAGTCAGAGTCTAAGGGATTATATTTTGGGACATATGAAGAACTGGTAAAAATCTTACCATAGTTCCTGAATTAAACAAAGTTTTTGTATTTGCTTGTAAAAACCATTCCCCACAATGTTGAAAAATAGTATTTTAAGCAAGTTATCTCCGAAAAGCCCCCTTGAAAGAAAGAGCAAGAACAGATGGAAAATATCTGTTACCCTGAGGTGCAATTCACATTTTCTGAAAACATTTTCACTTCTGCCACTTTTCCTTTCAACAGACATAAAAAGCCAAAGATTTTAATCTAGTTTTATGTCTACATTTTTATGTCTTCATTTTGGGGTTTGAGTTGTTAATCTGCTTTTATTCAGAGTAGATGACTCAAAAATGGATAAAGATCAGTATTAACTAATACTTACTCAGGTTTCTTAACTAAAAGTGTCTTGATGAAGTCAACAGCTGACTCAGACACAACGTCAAATTCTTCCTCAGAATAACTTAAATTCATCTGTGAGATGTTGAGGAAAGTTTCCTGTTTATCATCACCCAGGAAAGGTGATATTCCGGTCAGCATGACGTATGCTAACACTCCAATGCTCCTAAATCAGAATGAAAAGGAAAGAAAAATCAGTATCAGATTCATTTCTTAAAAGTGATTTGATCAATTTTTCATCAATGATTCTTACCACATATCTGTTGCCATGCTGATAGGATCGTAACTAAGAACTTCAGGAGCTAGTATCAGAAACAAAAGAAAACAGTTAGTTTTGTGGAAAAATATCAAATTTGCTGTTAGAAATAAAAATTTAAATACTCAAAACTGTATGACATTATCAAGGTTTGGGCTAAAATAAGTTCACATTATAAATCAAATTAATATGAATTAGTGTAAAGTCTAACTAGACATTTGTAATTAACTTAATTCCTTTTTGTACTTCTAACCTCCAATGCTGGATCCTAGCAATTTTTTAAAAAGATATTTGAATACATAAATACTACAATATAAAGTGATAACTTTTACTTTTATTCCCCCTCTTCCCACACCTGTCTAATCAAGCATCGGTTCTAACCAGTTCCTGCTTTTAAACCTTGCCTTGAGTCTGCAGTACTTCCCCCCAGACCCCTTAGGACCTGCTTCTGATCTACTCTAGGCTGTGGCTGGAGTGAGCTTTTAAAATGCCCATTAACTCAGAGTCAGTCAACAAGGTTAGAAAACAGCCTGGGCATCTTCGGATGACGGATCATAGGAAACAAGGACAGCTCCACAGGGTGAAGAAAGCAGTCTGCTTTGCTCGCTGTAACTAGACCGCTGCCGCCCGGCCAAGGCAACAGGAAGGCAGTCTCAAGTGTGCGAGGCCGCAGGCAAAATTCAGGAAACTCCTCCTTGGAAACTACTCACTGACACAAGCCAGCCAACCCAAAGATGATTTCTTTTTCAGTATACAGATAGGAAGGCCAGGCTATGCAAAGACAGACAGTTAAGTACTGAATCCATTTAAAAACAGATCAAAGACTAAAAGACTGGTAATTACCATAAAAAAGGGAATGAAAATGTTGAAGGGAAAACCAAAACACTCAAAGTCGCACATGCATGAACAGTTGGGGTCAAACATGCCCCCAAATATGAGGGGGGGGGAGGGGGGGATACAAGGGGGAGAAGTGGGGAGGGCAGATTTCTTCCACTCCTATCTCAAGACGCCAAGCTGAGAAACAGAATATGAATATTACTTAAAAGTTTCAAAAGAAACTACTAGGAAGTTTAAAATCAAATGCATAAAATCCAAATTACTGGAGGGGAAAAAGTAAAACAGCCAAGAGAGCAGTAGATGGTGGGTAGAGGGGGAGGAGGTAACATCAGTTACTTTTCTGAGTGTTTATGATGTGCTCAACACTGACAGAAGAACATCACTGAGCAGATCCAATGAGGCAGGACTTTCACAGCCTTGTTTCATTGACAGAGAGGCGTGCAGCACAAACAGGCTTGGGGACCGAGGTCATGCAGCTCGCCAGTGAGGAGCAGAACACAGCCGGGCAAAGGCGGTTGGCGCAGTGGAGGCTTCAACTCCCCTTAAAAGGCAGGCCAGGAGAAGGCAGGCAGGAGAGCCCTCACATTTTTCTGTATTATATCCTGAATTATTTTCAGGTTTTCCCAATTGGGCTTATACTATTTTTTTTATAATAATAAAGTTTCATTTTTTTGGAGGGAAAAAAGCTCTTGATAGAAAATTGAGAATTTACCATAGAGCAGAAAACACTGGAAAACAAGCAAACAAAGCCCAAAACTCATTCAGGGCAATAATTCCTGCAGGCGTCTCAGCCCATAGCCCTTCAGTCTGCAGTCGTCTGTGTTTCTTCTAGTTTACAAGGCCACCCACTAATCGCTGGCTAACACATCAGGCTACTTGCCCTGAAGCAGCACATTAAGCCACATTCCTAACCCTTACACTGTGGTCATAAGGCCTTATCAGTCTGCATACAGGAAATTAAGTGTTCTAGTCCACCAAAAAAACCCCAAAATCAATATTTGAAGGGTGTTTTTCTGCCTGGGATATCTTTTATTACCTAATAAAGGGTCTGCGGTTTCAAATCGCAGGACTTTAGAAAACAGTTTAAAATTTCAAATTATTTTTTGTGCTATCTATTAAAAAAAAAAAAAAAGCCCTATAGCTTTGTTTTTCTCAAGCCTAACTGTGCCCTGGGGCTTTCTGTATGCCCTGGAGTCCTTTTTTCCTTTCTACATACCACTCTCCCTTCTCATTCTACTTTTTGCCAAGCCTCCAGGCTGTCTAGGAGGAGACTGCCTCTCCATCCTCTTCACACCTCTGCCCGCAGGCAAACCTTTCCCCCCAGACAGGGCCACAGTCTTCTCTGTCATCTTCAGCTCTCACCTGCAGCCACAAAAGCCGTCCTCCTTCTCCCAGGGCTGACATCATCCCAGGCAGCTTCCACACTGACCTGCGACACCTGACCCCTGGTCTAAAGCTGAACTTCCAGAGCTACATCCAAGGTCTTGTCATCACAAAGAGCCATTTCTACTCAGATTTTAAATAAAACTGTCATCCCCGGTCACAACCTTTAAATTATTTCACTGCTTTGCTCTTCTGTAGAAATCTTTTTTTTTAACCTCATTCAAACCACTAATCCTTCTGTGCTCCACCTTTCTTCTTGTCTATCAAAAAAGTCTTAGTTTACTTTATCTACCAATCTAGAAGCCACGGTTCATGACCTGAACGGCTCTCTCCTTTTTCTCTCTGCCAGGAGCTTTCAGCTTTGTATCAACCTAGCAGAATACCCAGTATTTCCCAAACATGTGCAATCACAGGCCTTGCGATGTCTTTCACGATATTTATTATCAACTCGAAGTTCTTAACAGGTCCTTTACTTGTTCAATATCCTTCCACCCTCAGATAACCTGATATCCTATGCTGCTAAGTGAAGTGAAAGTCGCTCAGTCGTGTCTGACTCTCTTAGACCCCATGAACTATACATTCCACGGAATTCTCCAGGCCAGGATACTGGAGTGGATTGCTGTTCCCTTCTCCAGGGGATCTTCCCAACCCAGGGATGGAACCCAGGTCTCCTTCATTGCAGGCAGATTCTTTACCATCTGAGCCACAAGGGAAGCCCACTCCATTTAGAATGAAGCACCAATTTGGTACCTTAAAGTTTTCTGTTTTTTAACTCAAAGGAAGGGCTCTCTGCCAGTAGAATTTCAACACAGTGGATGGCTTGCCCCACCACTAATCACACCACGTGTGAGCTCCCCAGTGAAGGTGACGCCTGTCCCTAAACAGAAGACACACCCTGCTCTGACAAATACTCACCCACATACTCAGGAGTGCCCATGATCTCTCGGAGTTCTTCGCTCTTCTTCATTATTCTTGAAAGGCCAAAATCCACTATCTTAATGTCACCCAGTGGAGATTCACTTGTCAGCAGAATATTCTGAGGCTAAAAAATGACACCCCCAAATTAATAAACCATGATTGTGTATGAAAAGCAAAAGAACAGGCTGCCTGTAAAACATACAAATTTTACCTGTGGAACTAAGAGAGAAATTTACCAGTGGACAGTCATTCATTAAGCAGCTCTGCTTACAGCACACTTCCTATGTGTACGGCAGGAGGCTTCGCACCATCTCTTCTGATGCTAGCTCCTCCTCAGCACATAAATATGCACCTATTCCTATCTTAAAAACCAAACCCCTTATTAAAAAACAAAACAAAACCCTCCCCTATGACCCTGAATCTCTTTCTACCCAACCCACTCCCTCCCTCAGCTCAGCTGTTGAAAGCAAGGTCACCAGACCTTCGACCACTTCTCAATCCAGCTGAATCAAGATTTGCCCCTTCGGCTCAATCTGCTCTCACTAAGGTCACAGTATCTTTAACAGTCGAAGGCCCGCCAAGTCCGGGTGTCCTGCAGGCACTGACCACTGGACAATCAGGAACTCCTTCCTGGACATCCTTACAGTCCCTCTTGGATATATCCCTCCCTCTATAGATCCTCTCCCTTTTTTCAGGATTTCTTTGTCCTCCTTTTAAGTATTGGTGTTGCTCAAGATCTCTTGCTGACTGACCTTCTCCCAACACTCTGCATTCTATTTCTGAGCAATTTTATCTACCAGCAAAGTTTCGGTCCTCTCCAGACTCACAGAATCAATTAAAATCAGATCTTTTCATCTGGCTGAAATGTGCCACACCTTCGGCTTCCACCTCGGGATGAGGCCTTGGGCACAGATTCCCATCTCAATGCCCAAGTCAAACACTGGGAATCATCGTAAAATTCTGTCTCCATTTTCTACCACTGTCAGATCAAGTGAAGTCACCAGTCATGCTCATTCTAGTTCCTAGGCCTCAGTATCTCCTCCGCTTAAAGTTTGGGGTTTCATTACTTCCTACTTGGACCACGACCCTGCGTCTCTACTTTTCCCTACCTTCAGCCCATCCTTCTCACACAATAATCTTCCCATAATGGAAGTCTGATCATGATATTCTCCCTATGTTGTCCAGCTGCCATTCTTCAGCAACACACAACACTCCAATGGAGTGGGGGTAGAGGGTGGATGCACATGGCGACGGTGAGTACTACCCAAAGCCACAGAATCAATAAGCTTCATATCCTTGGAGCCATTTTCACTCATTTGAAGGAGACACTTTGGCATAAAAAGTCAAGCAGATATATATGGATTAGAATGTAAGATTCATTAGAATTTTTTAAATAAAGTACAAAATGTGAGTTTATATTTGCTTCATAAAGGGTCTGCATTTACTGTCTTTCGTTATTAAGAAGATAAACTGAGAAGCCCGCATACTTAGTCGTGTCTGACTCTCGGCGACCCCATGGACTGTACCCACCAGGTTCCCCTGTCCATGGGATTCTCCAGCCAAGAATACTGGAGTGAGTTGCCACGTCCCCCTCCCAGGGGATTCTGTGGGGAATCTGTTCCCAATCGATCAGGCTGCAGTCCCTAAACACCACACATGGTACACACCTCCGGCCTTGCCTCTGCTTGGGAAGCCCCCTCCTGCACTGCCTGACAAATTTATCCTTGCCTCTCACTCCAGCCATGGTGGGTGGGTCTCCTCTGCAAAGGCTTATACAAGACAAACTGCTCTAACAGTAATTTCCTATTTCCCCCGTCACACCCGTGCTCTCGAGGGTGGTACTGATGGCCACCCACCTTTCCTTCCACTCACACCCAGCTGCTCCATCTTCTCATCTGAGGCCCAGGTCACTAGAGATCAACGGCACGTCTTGGCTCTCCTCTGAGCACCGTCTCAGTGGCACTTGACACTACTGCTCCTTTTCTCTTGGCTTCCAGAAAAAAACACTCCTGGCTCTCCTCCTAACTCTCGGCTGCTGCTATCTCCTCTGTGGTCGGTCTCCCATTACCCGCCTGCTAATCGCTGGGTCCCTACAGTCTGACCTGGAGGCTCCTTCGTCTCGTCACCCCACTCCCACCACAGCACCCACCCGCATCACAGGCGGAACTGTCACCCGCACCTCAGGAGTCACCATCCTCATCTCTGGCTCAGATCTCTTCAACCAACTCCTACCTAATCTCTCCCCTCTGATGTCTCAACCTCAGATTTTACAAGCTCCAGTCAGACTCACTCCTATTATCCTCCCAAGTCAGACTCTCCTACCCTCTGTGGGCATCTCAGCTGATGTTCTTTGCAGCCGCCAGGACACAACACAGAAGCATCTCCATCTTTCTCCCCCGCTCTGCCATCTAGCTAGTCTGTCACCATATCACACTGACTTTAAATCCCAGACGCAGGCATTTCCAGACTTGGGTCTTCTCCTCTCCCACCACAGGCTGCCAACTCCAGCTACCATCATTTGTTTGCTCAGTTGCAGCAGAAAACTGCCCCAACTGCAGCCAGCAGGGTCTTTGTCCTCTGTGCCACGCCCACACCCTTTCAGTAGCTGTCCCCAGCTCCTACAATAACCTCCCCACTGCTCACTGCGGTCCAGAAGCCCCTGGCAGGGCGAGCTCGGCCCGGCTCCCCAGACTCCTTACGCATCTGCTTCCTGCGCTCAGGGAAAGTCAGGCTCTGGGACACCGCCAGCCGCTCGCACCTGCGCTGCTCTCTCACATCTCTGTACACCGCCCGTCCTCCACCCAGAACACTGCTCTGTCTTGCTCTGCCTCCTGTCATCCTGGTGAGAGGATCTGGCACGGGAGGGAAGCAGCGTCGTGAAGGGCTGTGCTACGACACAGGACGCTGACATACAGACGGGTGCTCTCTTTAAAAAGGGGTTGTAGGGCTTCCCTGGCAGGCCAGTGGTTAAGCTCTGTGTTTCCAATGCAAGCGGTGCGGGTTTGATCCCTGGTCAGGGAACTAAGATTCAGGTGCCTCATGGCCAAAAAAAAAAAAAAAACCATCTTAAAAGGCATTTAAAAGCAAATAACAACAAAAAAAAATTTAAGGAAAAGGGGTCTTATTGTTGACCTAACCATCCTGCCTACCCTTCTCTACTATGAAAGTGCTTTAGGTCTATTCACAGTCTGGATTCAGAAGCGGAGAGTGGGAACAGCCTCCAGATAGGTGGGAACCAGAGCCACAGCCCTGGTCACTGAGGCATCTCCAGGCTCAGGGCTCCGCCCTTGGCAGACAGGCACTGGTATTCACTGAGTAAATGAAAAGAAGAAAGGGGACTCTACAAAAAATGCCTTAGAGGGTCTCTACTTCGTGTCAGGACAGGTGGTAACATGACTATGAACAATAAGCCCTTACTGTCCTGACTTCATAATCAGAAGAGAAGCATATGGGCCTGTCAGGCTCAACTGACTCTGCTGTGCATCATTGAGTACTGCAGTCCACGAAGCGTTTGGGCACTAAATGCACTGGAGGAAGGGATTCTACCTTGGAGAGTTCCAGAGGAGGCCAGGGAGCAGACCCTGAAGGGGAAAAAGGACTTCACCATTTACTCAGCCAAGTTTCATGGGCTGCCTAGTGAGCTGTGACCAGGGGAAATGGCAGAAAACAAGATGTGTCCCTGTTGGAACAGGGTCAAGTAAGTACCAACAGATAGTATAACTTCTGGTAATTTTTAGCTCTACAGAAAACCCAGAGTGGGTAAGGGGTGACAGCACGCCTACCAAGTATGTATGTGTATGGATGCTATTTCTAGGACAGTCAGGGAAGGCTTCCTGGAGGAAGCAGTATTTGAAGGGAGACAAATGTTAAGAAGGAGCCAGTCAAGGTGGAGCATCTAGGGGTTGGGGGAGGCAAAAGGAAGAACTGCAAGCTGCAGACAAACACAGAGGTGGGAGGCAAGTGTGAGGCTGGAAGGAAATGGGGTTGGGGGCAGGACTTGCAGGGCACGGTGGGCCATTTGGGAGCACCTGGCAGGAGGCAGAGCAAGGGGAGGCACAAGAGGACATCCCAGGGAAACATGACCACAGGCCAAAGGACAACAGGGAGCCATCCCACAGCGTGACATGTGCAAGAGACCGTCAGATACAAGCCTGTGGCTGCAAACAGGCTTCTAAAACATGTGCCTTTAGCCTGTCTTTAAAAGCCTCCAGAGGGGGACAGACTGAGGCAGATGTGAAGAAGCATGGAATGAAAGAAAAGAGAAGAAATCTCACACATCAGAGGCAAAATGCACAGGCCACTGTGACTGATGACATGCAGGAACAGAAAGAGGGAGCGCATGTCATTCGCTGACTGATGCGTCAGGTCCACAGACAGGACCATCACTTCAGTTTCCCCAGGACCACCCAGGACAGTTGGAAATTCAATCTGGAGAGCAAGGCTGAGGACAGGGCTTTGGGGCCAAAAGCACACAGGAAGATTAAGCGTGACACAAGAGGAAGTGTGTGCGAGGCAGAAGAGCAGTGGGCCGGGATGAAGGCTTGCTGATACCTATGTTCGGGGACACAACGAGAATCAGAGGGAGGAGAAGCTGGTCTGAGAGTGAGAACCCAGGTGTAACATCAGTGGACGGGAGCCATGACGAAGTGCGCCATCAAATAGGACAAGACGAAGAACGAGGACCATGAAGGAACTCGGAGAAAGTAACTTTCAGTAAAGCTGTGGGAGAAAAAACTAGCTTACAGTAGGCGGAAAAATGAATGGAGAAGCTAAGAGATACAGTACAAGTTGTTTTGGCTTAAACGTCTCCTGATCCCCTTGAAACCAGCGCTGTCCTATTACAGAAAGGTCATGTGAGTCACAGAAGGCAGCTTAAAATTACCTAGCACCCACATTACAAAAAGTAAAATGAAATGGGTGAAATTAAATATATTCATTTAACTCAATTTATCTAAAAGTTCATACCTTCAACAGGTAATTAATATGCAAAATTATTTAAATATTTTACTTTTTTCCCCACACCAAGTCTCGGAGCTCTGGTGTGGACTTCACACTTAGAGCCCATTTCAGTTCGGCACCACTCAGCCAGTGCCACTGGGCTGATGGTGCAGCCATAAACTCCTTAAGAGGGGGAAAAAAGATCCAAATGATACCCCAAGAAATGGTCAGAGAATTCTGAGTGTCTCTTACTCAATGTTCTAATTATTACCACTATGCAATTAATGGAATGAGAGTTTATTTTGAAAACAAATTCATCAGAATAACTAAAGCTTTTCTTCCTATACTGAAAAAACCATACCATGGCCAGCATTATCTCTAATTTTATAAAAACCTGTTTTGTTTTTTAAATTACAAAAAATTTGGCTACAGTAAACACCTGAAACTGAATCAAAAACTAAAGCAACAAATTGCTGTCACTACAGAAGTCTCCACTGCAGAGGCGTGCTCAGTGATTATAAATATCCTAACCAGATAAGCACTCTCCTGCCCACAAAGATTGAGAAGCTTAACTGATCAGTGTTAGAATCAATTTCTCTTTTCATTGAGGTTTTGGTAACATAAACCTCCTTATAAAGCCACGTTCTCTTTCTTACTTAGCTTCTTGCTAATTTTTCAGGGAAAAAAATCCTATACAGCACTTTGATTGTAAGTCCCTGACTTCTCAAAGCAACTGTAATTTTATTACCATAAAGAAATACTACTTACAATCAAATGTCATTTTTCAGGCAAATTAGATGAGAGGGGTTTGGTTCTGAATATATGTTCATCACTGCACATGCTTCACCCCCTCCCCCAGTACACCAAAAGCGCCAAGAGAAGTACTGCTAATCACTGGATCTGAAGGGTCATTTGTGATTAATAAGACATGCTCATTCTGGGGATGTCTGTAAATGCCATTTATTCCCTTAAATCTTTTCCCTTTACATTTGGTTTACCCTTTATATTCCCTGGGAAACGCTTTCTTTCTTTTTTTTTTTTTGAAACGCTTTCTTTAGTTGTTATTCGAAAGCTTGCTGGTTGAGTGGTAATGCAATAAATTCTTTTTTTTTTCCCCATTTATTTTTATTAGTTGGAGGCTAATTACAATATTGTAGTGGGTTTTGCCATACATTAACAGGAATCAGCCATGGATTTACATGTGTTCCCCATCCCAATCCCCCATCCCGCCTCCCTCTCCATCCCATCCCTCTGGGTTGCAATAAATTCTGTATTTGTGTGACCAAATTATTAGAATGTTACGTAGTGGTTGAAATCGAGGCTTAGTCACAAGTGTCCATGATCTGCCAAAGTGAGAGACCTTAAACCCTTGAAAGAGATTACTAGAGAAGACACATGTCTCATAATAAAATCATAGCCATTTCATGGAATTTCACAGTTATGTTTTTTGTGTCCTCTTGACCAACTGTGCCCTGGTTTAACCATCAGTACATTTTTAAAGTAGAACTTACTCCTCTAAATAAAAGACTATAGTCTCCATCAGTCTCTGATGGAGAAATAAATTCACTTCCATAAGTGAAAATAAGTGCTAAAAACAAAGACAAGCTTAAAATTTACAGCTCAGTCAGTCCTCTATTTTGTAGAATCCAGTTCACGATCAAGGCTGTGGCTCACAATACTTAATTCTAATTTAAGATGCACGCATCCCGAGTAGAAAGAAAGAAGGTCCACTGAGGGGTAATGGGGGTGGAATACACAGGAAACATACAAACCATCTTCAGACAATGGGAATAGAGACATCTTCCAAAATCTTATTTCTCAGCTTCAAGGGAGAATCCTTTTCTTTATCTGGGTATCTTCACCTCTGCACATGGTCTATTTACCATTTACTGAGAGTCATCACTGGATAAGATCATTGTAAAGTTGAGGCTAATCTGTTAAAGCTTAAGGAACCATGGACAAAATTTTGAGCAACATTTTATCAGGCAATGAAAGTTTAAGTTAAATTGACTTTTTATGCACTAAAACCCAGGTCAGAATACAGAAATAGGTTAATAACCTGCCTAAATAAATTGGAGGAACTATTTACAAATGTTACATGATACCAATCTTTCAAGTAAAACGCTGATGCCTAAACTTTCAGTGATCAATTTAAATCTCAAATGGAAAAGTTCCAGCTTCTAATGCATAGGCTGCTCCTCTCCTTCCCATCATATACATTGCGGTGGGGGCAGGTTTAATGACTGAACACCTAGTACAGAACAGTGAAAGATCTGACCAGTACAAGACCACTGGAACACAAACAGCCTTGGTTATTTTAATTTTTTTGACTTTTATTTTTTGGAAACATGTGGGATCTTAGTGCCCTGACCAAGGATGGAGCCTCGAGCCTGCATCCCCTGTATTGGAAGTGCAAAGCCTAAACCACTGGACCACCAGGGAAGCCCCAACCTTGGATTTTAAGACTGAATATATGTGCCCCTTCTGGTCAATCCTCCTCCTGGCTGATGTAAAAGCAGGCCACTATGCCCAGGACCAGCTCACATTACTGAGATGATTTTGAGACTTGAGCTTTGTTCTGACTCTGAACATTTTGGTAATCCTCAAAATACCTCAAACATTTTCATTATATTTGTCGTGCTGATCTGTGATCAATAACCTTGGCACTGGGAAAGATAGTGACACTTTCTTTATTGAGATATTCACTTTACTGTGGTGTCTGGAAGCAAATCTGCGACTTCTCCGAGGCCTGCCTGCATCTGGCTGAGGGTCTTCAGTGAACCAGTCTTTGGGCAAACTGACTGCCCAGCGTCTTGACTGAAGAGTGTATTTCCCATTCTTGCAATTATCTCTTTTCATAGGGGCAACTCTAATAGTCACCTAACTAACTAACTTACTTCTGTCTCTGGGACAAGACTTGCCCATTTTCATAATCATGGGGAATAAAAATGGTCTAATGACTCAAAGTTACCCCGAAGAAGGAAATGGCAACCCACTCCAGTATTCTTGCCTGGAGAATCCCATGGACAGAGGAGCCTGGTGGGCTGCAGTCCATGGGGCCACAAAGAGTCCGACATGACTGAGTGACTTAGCACACACCAAATATACATTTAGCTCTGTAGCTTAGTCTTTCAAGCTCTTATCAAGACTGAGAGTCAACATTATAAATATACTGTCACTGGGCAGATGGCTGCTAAAAAGACAGTAGACACTCCTTGTCCAGACTCACAAGGGTCATGGGAGCCAACCTAGGAATAACCTTTTGGAGAAATCATTCCCATCTGCATGGTTGCCTTCCCAACCCCACCCCTGACCTTTCCCCCCACAGTTCATTAAGAGCCGAGCTGGACTATGTGTGTGAAGAGCGAGAGGGCAGGAGAGATGCTGAGAAACCTCCAGGCCACCTTGTCTTCAAGCTCCTCTGGGTCTGGGAAACATGGAAGAGTCCTGTTTCCAACATCAAAGGCCCATCATCAAAGCCTCTATTAAATCTGCAAAGTATTCCACACGGAGTATACTGGGGAGAAAGGAATACAATTTATTCTGAGTGTATTGGGGAGAAAGGGATATAATTTCCTTGTGTAAATACACAGTCAAACCTGGCAGTCAAGAACTTAACATTCACCCTTGACTGCTTTCAAGTAACATCAAAGATGCATGACACACGGTGTCGGCAACCTGTCTGACTCGCTACTTAATTAGTTCCTAATCTGGATAATGTCACAGGTGGAGCTGTCATAAATTGAGAGCTCATTTCCTAAAGGTGTGATATTATTTAAATCGGGGTTCTGTTCATGGAGGTCCTTCTACATCATAAAACTAGCAAAATGTCATAAAATTAAATGTATGATTTTACAAAGTTGAGTGTATAAAACCAAACATGAGAGAAGGCTCAGCACAAACACAACTTTGGGGAATTTTTTTTGCACGTCTGATACTGAGGCTTCTTAAAAGTCTGAGTTCACTGAAGGCTGGACTGCAAAGACCATCCCTTCCTGGCAAGTGTTCCCTTGGGAAGCATGGATGGCTATGTCTTGCAGCAAGGATTTTTTAAATTTCTAATGCACACAACACATTCAAGGAAAAAAACAAGAGCTCCAGGTGCCTGGCGCATGCTCTTAGGGTTTCACCAGGTGATCTCTAAGGCCACTGCAGCATCAGCCTCCTGGGACTACACGTGGGTGCACACGTGTCCACACCTGCCTTCAAAAAATGTCCCACAAGCACTCCCATGGTCTATTGTGGTGTAACCGCCCACTTTTGACACTCTACTAAGAAATCAGCAACCTGGGAAAAGAGAACTATTTACAGAATGAATCTACCTGATATCTTTCAGAAGAGAACAAGAAAGTTTCCAAATTGTTTCCTTTCCCCTGTATTTTCCTATAGGAAACTGGTATTCAAAGAAGTATCTATTTCCCTTCTACTTTATTTCAAATGAAATTTGCCCAAGTTTCCTAGAGGAGTCAACCTCCCTGTTACACACTGCACACTTCTCCTTCAGAGTGCGCCTTCACGCAATGCAGAATGAACACCGCTGCTGATACAGAACAGGATGGATGCAGTATGGTGTGTGGAAGGTGTCGAAGCATACCATCCAGCAGCGGTAGTGGGTGGCACCTGGATCCCCAGGACTGGCATCTCCAGGAAGCCCACAAAGAGTAGGACCTGACTGAGCAACTAAACCATCACCACCGCCAGCATTCCAAGCCCTGTCTCCACCATGAAGCCTGCACCCACCCAGAAATGTTGTTGAAGCTCCATTTCTAGGGCAATGTGTCACTATTTATCTTTCCAGGTACACACATGTGCATTCTCTCCCTGATAAAACTGGCTAGAGGATAAGAATAAAGATTCAACTCTTACTTCCTTGTAACCCAATGACACACACAGACCTGACAAACGTTTGAATAAATCACTGTGAAGCATTTCACATCTGGGGTTGATTCTCCAGCAACCTTAAAACTGGAAAGTGATTCAGTTTTCTTACCTTCAAATCAAGATGAACGACATCATGAGCGTGTAGGAAGCAAACACCTTCTAAAATCTGCCTCATGAGTCTCTGAACATCTTTTTCTGTGAAAGCTTCATCTCTGTCTGCAACACACTGGTCAAAGATTTCACCTCCAGCAGCACTAGAAAAGAGGAGAAGCACAATTTAAGTAAAGAGGGAAAGGACTCATTAAAAATAGTTAAGTCTTTTTGTTTCTAATATTTATACACATTCAGTTCAGTTCAGTTACTCAGTCGTGTCCGACTCTTTGCGACCCCATGAATTGCAGCACGCCAGGCTTCCCTGTCCATCACCAACTCCCGGAGTTCACTCCAACTCATGCCCATCGAATCAGTGATGCCATCCAGCCATCTCATCCTCTGTCGTCCCCTTCTCCTCCTGCCCCCAATCCCTCCCAGCATCAGGGTCTTTTCCAATAAGTCAACTCTTTGCATGAGGTGGCCAAAGTATTGGAGTTTCAGCTTCAGCATCAGTCCTTCCAGTGAACAGTCAGGACTGATCTCCTTTAGGATGGACTGGTTGGATCTCCTTGCAGTCCAAGGGACTCTCAAGAGTCTTCTCCAACGAAGGAATTCTTATTTAGATAGACTACTAATTTGAATGTGTGTAAACTTTTGTCTATTTACATGCTGAAATCCACTTTTTAAAATAAAAAGTAAAATTTTTAATATGAGCTCATTTTAGCATTTCCAAAGCTAAATAAAAACAGCTTAAAAAACTTTTAAGAACTAAACCTAAGTGGTAAAATATATTAACAGTTTCAAGTAAAAATTTTCAAGAATTTTTGGTTACAGAATACATAAACATTATTTTTGCAAAAAATGCAAATAATGAAAATAAAGCAAATACCCTCCACTGATGACCCATTCCCCAATCCAAGAGCCACACTTAGAGGTAAGCTCTTAGCACTTGGCCATACTCCATCCTTCCAGTTTTGTTTTTAAAAACCACACTTAAAATGCATACAAAAATATCAGTTTCATGGATTTCTAAAGAACACATAAATGGTAACACAGGACACATACTACTGATCCTGTACTATTACTTTTTTAAAATTAAACATGCCTTATGTGTTTTTTCCATGATGGTTTTTTATCTATCTACCTCATGATTTTTTCATTTCTACAACCTTGTGAATAGATAAACCATAGTTTATATATGAAACGTCCCAAAAGGCAAATTTATAGAGAAAGAGAGCACAGAAGTAGCTGCCTGGGGCAGGGGGGTATAATGTGCATAAGGATGTTACTGAAAGCACACAAATGTTTTAAAACAGGTTTATTATGATGGTTGTACAACTTGGTAAACTTACTAAAACCCACTGAATTACACACTTGAAGCCTGTGAATTATATACTATGTAAAGTATGCCTCAATAAAACAATTTTAAAAACCTCATACTTTAGTTAGCTATTCCCCTTTGAAGGACATTTAGGGTTTTTTTTTTTTTTTGTCTAATTATTCATGATTATAGACAACGTCGTGATGAGAAGGTGCATGAATGTTCTGGTCTGCTCCTGTGCCTGCAGTCTTCAACTTAGATACTGGGAGAAAAGCGCTGGCGTGAAGGGACTGTGCTTCTGAAACTTCGGTAGCTATGACTTAGGCTCACGAAAGAGCAGTACGGCCTTCTGGTTTCTTCTACCCTCTGGCCAACGCAACTCAGTTCCTGTTTTTTCCCTGTGAATAACTTTGCTAATAAAAAAATCATTTATAATTTTTCCTTTCCTTTCCTTTCAGCAGAAGTTCCATATTTAAACAATTTTTCCTTACCATAAGTGACAACTCATGTCATACTTCAAATTTTCTTTTCTGTGTTTAAAAAAAAAAAAGACTGGGTTGCTTTCATGAAGTTGCTACAGAATTAGTGTGAAATATATAACACCAGGCAGCCATGCTTCTGTCAAACAAAAGCTGCTCATTCATTTCCTTTTCATAAGGTAACTTAGTTCTTTTCTTTTTTATTGGGGCAACCTATTCTCCAATTGTGCCTAGATAAGGAAACAAAAATTTTCACAAAAATCATATAAGAACCTACTTAAGTTTAGTTAAAGAACTGCAGGTGATAAGAGTAAAAGAAATAATTCATTGGCTGGTTTAGATTTTCATTTTGGTTAAACCTATACAACTGACTCTTTTGTTATATATTAATTACCGTATGAGAAAACCATATGTGAAAGCATCAAAACAATTTTTATGTAATTAACTGTAAAATGGCCATGACATATTCAGGCAAAGTTAAAAGTACTATTTAATTCGAAAGAAAGGAAATAGTGAGCATTTACAGCAAAAAAAAAAAAAGTAAATTCATGACAGTCTGACAGGCTGTCTGCTGTGAACAGGGAGATGAGATGAGCTGAGTCCACGCGGCCCCAGCAGCTACAGACGCGCCAGGGCGCGATGTGCAGCCAGGGCAGGGCCTGCACACACAGGCCACAACCTGCGGAGTACACGCAGGACGGCCTGCGCGCCTCAGCTGAGACAGAGGACTGTCGCTCGGTTGCCAGAAAGTTTCTCAAGCTCAATTTTCTGTCCTCTGGGCCCCTCAGCTCAACACCGCCATCCACAATAAAACCAAATAGAGCTCGATTTACACAAATTCAAGGATCTCTTTACCTAAGGTTAAGAACAATTTATTACTAGTCTTTTCCACTAGCTATTCACTCATTCTTGCTTTAACTAAAGGATTTCCTCTGTTTTCCCAAACACAAGATATGAAGGGCAAAGTTAGTTTTCTAAAAATTCTGAAGGCTATATTGGATTGGCCAATGGGTTGTGCCACAAGATCTTATGGGGAAAAAGGAAAAGAAAAAAAAAACTTGAAAGAACTCTTTGGCCAATCCAACACTTCAAACAGAGACTACTGTAAAGAAGCTATATAAGCCAGCCTTCAGTGATCAGTAAGGCTTACATACCCTCTAGGTACAATGTACAATCACCAAGTCATTTTACCCTGTTTACATTTAAGCCTGACCCATTAACCAACTGTCATTTAAACTAATGGAACCAAGTGAAGTTTTACTATGGAATAACCTGAGATGGTAAAAGCATCTGTTGAGTATGGCAACAGAAAATGCAAAAATATTAACATCTGCTGTGCACAAAGCACCTTCATTCACACAGAAGCTAGAACAGCAGGAGGAGTTTTGCTAGGCCCATCTTTCACTACAGCAAAATTTTCAGCTTTATTGTAGTACTCTAGTAGTGCTTATTTTCCATGACTTTAAATTATTCAGAAACTAAGTTTAATTCATATAACTTTTTATCCAAGTATTTTTTACAGAATGATTAACTGAAGGACTTTTCAAAAAATTTTACTAAAACTATTTTTATAGAAAATGTTAAGAACTGAGTTTCAACTTTCTACTGCTCCTCAGAAAATTACAAGTATCTCTTTGTTTACATTATTCAGAGTCAAATAAATGATATATATATATATATATATATTTTATGATTACTAGAAAGACTTTATTTTTTTTTCCATTTATTTTTATTAGTTGGAGGCTAATTACTTTACATCATTGCAGTGGTTTTTGTCATACAGTGAAATGAATTAGCCATGGATTTACATGTATTCCCCATCCCGGTCCGCCCTCCCACCTCCCTCTCCACCCGATCCCTCTGGGTCTTCCCAGTGCACCAGGCCCGAGCACTTGTCTCATGCACCCAACCTGGGCTGGTGATCTGTTTCACCCTAGATAATATACATGTTTCGATGTTGTTCTCTTGAAACATCCCACCCTCGCCTTCTCCCAGAGTCCGCAAGTCTATTCTATACATCTGAATCTCTTTTTTTGTTTTGCATATAGGGTTATCGTTACCATCTTTCTAAATTCCATATATATGTGTTAGTATACTGTAATGGTCTTTATCTTTCTGGCTTACTTCGCTCTGTATAATGGGCTCCAGTTTCATCCATCTCATTAGAACTGATTCAAATGAATTCTTTTTAATGGCTGAGTAATATTCCATGGTGTATATGTACCACAGCCTCCTCATCCATTCGTCTGCTGTTGGGCATCTAGGTTGCTTCCATGTCCTGGCTATTATAAACGGTGCTGCAATTAACATTGGGGTGCACGTGTCTCTTTCAGATCTGGTTTCCTCGGTGTGTATGCCCAGAAGTGGGATTGCTGGGTCATATGGCAGTTCTATTTCCAGCTTTTTAAGAAATCTCCACACTGTTTTCCATAGTGGCTGTACTAATTTGCATTCCCACCAACAGTGTAAGAGGGTTCCCTTTTCTCCACACCCTCTCCAGCATTTATTGCTTGTAGACTTTTGGATAGCAGCCATCCTGACTGGCGTGTAATGGTACCTCATTGTGGTTTTGATTTGCATTTCTCTGATAATGAGTGATGTTGAGCATCTTTTCATGTGTTTGTTAGCCATCTGTATGTCTTCCTTGGAGAAATGTCTGTTTAGTTCTTTGGCCCATTTTTTGATTGGGTCATTTATTTTTCTGGAGTTGAGCTGGAGGAGTTGCTTGTATATTTTTGAGATTAATCCTTTGTCTGTTGCTTCGTTTGCTATTATTTTCTCCCAATTTGAGGGCTGTCTTTTCACCTTGCTTATAGTTTCCTTTGTTGTGCAAAAGCTTTTAAGTTTCATTAGGTCCCATTTGTTTATTTTTGTTTTTATTTCTAAAATTCTGGGATGTGGGTCATAGAGGATCCTACTGTGATTTATGTTGGAGAGTGTTTTGCCTATGTTCTCCTCTAGGAGTTTTATAGTTTCTGGTCTTACATTTAGATCTTTAATCCATTTTGAGTTTATTTTTGTGTATGGTGTTAGAAAGTGTTCTAGTTTCATTCTTTTACAGGTGGTTGACCAGTTTTCCCAGCACCACTTGTTAAAGAGGTTGTCTTTTTTCCATTGTATATCCTTGCCTCCTTTGTCGAAGATAAGGTGACCATAGGTTTGTGGATTTATCTCTGGGCTTTCTATTCTGTTCCATTGATCTATATTTCTGTCTTTGTGCCAGTACCATACTGTCTTGATGACTGTGGCTTTGTAGTATAGTCTGAAGTCAGGCAGGTTGATTCCTCCAGTTCCATTCTTCTTTCTCAAGGTTACTTTGGCTATTCGAGGTTTTTTGTATTTCCATACAAATTGTGAAATT